ATCTGTTCAGAGGGCGTGAGTTCGATTTGATTGATCTGTTCAGAAGGCTGGTGAGTTCGATTCGATTTAGAACGTATCGGTCGGTGTAAAATCTTTGACAAAGTTAGATCTCATTCAAGAGATCTCAATCAAGAGGGCTTAGTTTCTAGTAAGCCCACCTGGAATGAGCAATTCATATCTTCGGTAATCGACATCGTTCCGCCGGCATTGTCGAATTGGCCACAATAGTGTGGCGCCGAAAAGACGGTCACCAGTCGGCGATTCGCAAAAAACTCGTAGCCATCCTGTACCACTTGATGTGCACGACAGATCAAATCCAGATCCAACTTCTGACAAATATCCACCACAACGTCTTGACCGAACGTATACGATGCACCACGTGTGTTCGCCTGCCAGCCTTTCACCCACTGGTCGGGATCAGCCCAGAGCAAATCCAACTCCATCGACGGATTCGGCGGATCATACGGACGAGGCAGATTGCGCAATTGTTCTAACGATTGCAGATGTGGTGAAAGGCCACCGTGCATGCACAGAATACGTGCACCAATATAGCCACATAGTGGCATACAATTGAAAGTATCCTAAAATTTGATTTTGAAAATTTTCCGACTGGTTTTTTACTGATTCTATCTGCCTACCCTCCACATCCCCAAATCAATTTCCTTGGCTCTAGATTAGTCCAGAGCAAGCAGAGACCTGAAATTAAAAAAAANGGCGATTGCATTCTTCGTAGAATCCATACACACGATTTATAGCGCTCGTCTCATGATTTCCTTCAAAGTACAAAAATGTTTGTTTCTTAAATTCCCGGATCTCTTCATGTTTAAAAATCCCTCAAAAATAACCTCAAATGTCGTCCCCCCCCCGTTCCCGAAAAAATTCAAAACTTTGAAAAAAATTTCCTCGAAAGTACCACATCAGATCATAGATCAAGTTCTGATCCGATCTGAATCTCGTTCTGATCAATTGAAATTGATTTATTAGTGGATCAAGGATCAGATCACAGATGATCGCCCGACCTCTTAACATGAAGAAATTTTCGGGATATTTGATTTTGTAGCAAAATTGCAAGGAGATTGTCTCGATATTCTGTTTGCCTCTGTCAACGAAATCGCCCAGAAACAAGTAGTTGGACTCGGGTGGGAAGCCGTTCTTGTCATAAATCCGCAACAAATCCGAGTATTGCCCGTGAATATCGCCGCAAACCACCAGCGGTGGCTCCACCTCGATTAGACTTGACTGACTCAAAAACACTTGTTTGGTCAAAACACACAACTGATGCAACTCCTCTTCGGCAACCTGAAATTAATTTCAGGTCTTCAGGTTTCTCTGCCTGTTACGAACTCCGTGATTCCGAGGATTTGACCTGGATCGATCAGTGGCACCAGGATTACCTGTGTAGTTAAACGCCCTCCAGCCATACCCACATTTAAAAGGCGGCTAATCATATTATCGACATCGAACGCTG